AGCTTTTCCTGGTACTGAGACCTGAGAGCAATTTCTCCTGTTGGTCCTCATAAGGGGACACTGTGATTTAGTGGACAAGGTTCTCAATTCCACCCTACTGTGAATACAATGGGGAGAACAGACAACTGCTTCTTTGAGGGCTGCTCAACACATGTCACGGCCTCAATGCTCAAGTACTAAATTTAAAAAAAGTGATTCTTCAACTAGCCTGGCCTGTAGACCATGTTCACAGCTCTATAAGGCTCAGTTTAACCCCGGAGGGCAATGTTAATGATGTGGGGCAACTAAGAAGCTGCATATTTTTCAAAAAGTATTAATTTACCTATCTGTAGTTGGACAAAAAATTAGATGAGGAAAATGTATAATTGTTTCCCAAGGACCTAAAGATTGTTAATAATCATCTTATCTGTGCTTTTATTTTCCTTTTGAATAATTTATCATAAAATGAACTGATGATTTAAGTTCTTAATGAAAATCTTATATGGTATATGACAATACTTGTGGTATTTCATAACAAAGATTAAGGTTCAGTTAAATTTTCATCTATGAACAGTACCCTAAATAAACAAAGGACTTTCCTTCATGATAGGAAAAATAAAAAGAAAATATATATGAATATATATATGTCTGCATATGTGTGTAATCATCAAGAATTTTCCTTTTTTTCTTACCATGGACATGCTTGGTTTATAATTATAATAGACATACTCAGAAATGATGCATGGTAATAAGAATGGTTGCATTGTACAAGGGAGTAAACTTTGCACTTTGATGAATCTATATAGCCTCTTCTATGTTAATTTTTAATGTAATTAAAATTGAGGAACCACTCATCTACTAACTAAGATTTAAGCCTCACACATTAGGTATCATTTTAGTGTAGCACACATGACACTGATGTTAAACATGCATTTCCTATTGTGTTGCCTAACATGTAAACACTGTTTAAACATCCGTGTCTCCATAGATATGAAAAGCAACGTGTAAAGATTCAGAAAACAGAAGTTAACAATATCATAAATCTAGCTTTCATAGGTCTTAGCAACATCACAGAAACTTGGATGGATACACCATTTATTTATAATGGAATTCCCCTTCCTTGTTATTTGATATTATTTAGTAAAAATATTAATTTTGCGTAGGTAGGGGAAAAAGGGAAGTTTAGTTTCAAGATAAAAGTTAAAGGTCTCCTGATAGGAAAACTTCAATAATCTCACTTCAATCAGCTTGAGGACAAAAGGAACAAGGCAGATGTTTCTCTTAACATACCTCTTTAATTAGACTCATAAAGCGGGTCCCAAAGCGCCAGGGTTTATGCCGATTACACTGCAAGGAGCTGACGGTCATCTGGGGAAACTGCTGGACGGCCACAGACACCACGTGCACAGCATCGTACATTAGAGCCGCGTCAGTCTGAAAGACCAGAGAGAAGGAAACGCAGAGTCAGTGCCCTGTGTGAAACTGCCGGCAGTGGCCTGCAATGGAGAGAAGTGAGGGAACTATACATCCAGTTTTCTTTACATGAGAGAGAAAACATTATCTGTAACACGCTCCGGTTCTCTTCAATAGGACATTGTTATCCAATTACACCATCAGCTCCATTTGGACATTTAGTCCAGCTTCCCTTTCCTGAAGTGATAACCCAGTTCCATATGGTCATCATATCTCTGCTGGAATAGGAAATGCGTCAAGACATTCTTTATTTCTGTTTTGTCACTATCTTACAATGTCTCACCACACACACGTGTACACACACCCACACAAGTGTACACACCCGTACCCACACCCATGAATGCAATTGCTAGTACATGAATGGACACGTGAATCACACATTGTATATGAAAGTAAATAAGTAAACAGATTCCTTATACAGGAAGAAAAGATTTTAAAGGAGATTTACTTAAAACGTTTAAACTGCTTTCATGTTGTAACTTTAAAAAGATATGAAGCCTGATCTTTTCCTCAACTCAAATTTTTAAAAGGTTCAATCTCAGAAAAGATGCTACAGTTTTGAATCTCAAAACACGTATTAGTCTCTTTTCAAGAAACTAAGCTTAATCTTTTGTGCTGTTTCCTTTCCCCCAAATTTCCATATGAATAAAAATTCATTTAGCTTCTCAAGTAAAACAAATAGGAATGCTACCGTGTTTGCACCTGCTCAAATGATCAATCACTTTAGAGGCTGATGATAAAAAATAAAATGTTTACAAGTCATAATAAAACAGGAGGTTAGCAACTGTCGAGTGCTGCATTAAATGGACCCTCACATTGTGTGTGATGGATCGATGCCAGGCTCACTACCTACAGAGGAGGGCCACACAGACACGACTGGTGGTAATGAACTTTGGCCATCTGCTTGACATGTTTTGGAATAAAAGCATATACTTCCTCTCCTCGTTCACATACTTAGTGAGCTGTGAAATGAATTCCAAAATGCATAAGAAGCCTGCAGATTATAGTATTTGCCACAGTACAATGGAAAACGAGTACATACAGTAGCTTTCAAGCAAATGGAAACCGGGGAGCCTTACCAGGTAACGTGCAAGATGGCTGAGAGCACAATACAGTGACGGAACATAATGATAGGAGTTTATAGTTCATAAGTCTCTGGGGAATATAACGCAGCTTCAGAGCCATCATTTTATAAATACTAGCTGACTACTTTCACATACTCTGATGGCTGCATAGAGAAAGTGACGGAAGTATAGTTACGTAGGGCTCGTAAGGAGCCTGGAGATTAGACCGATGTTTGTCTTGGGCCTGAGTTAACATTCAGAGGACATATTTCCTACATCACACAGGTGGTCATAGAAATAGTTATCAAAATATGAAAGATATATTTGAATTTTTAAAATAAATCATTGTCAACCAAGGGTACATGGAAATGAGCCCTTTCAAACATCACTAGAGAGAAGATAAAAGCTAAGTTTTCAGTATACAACTCAAAGGAACCTTTAAAATATCCATACTTTTTAACCCACTAATAGCTATTTCTGAAACTTGCCCTAAGAAAATCAAAGATAAAAACATAGGCTACACATCTTTAAATAATTGAAAATCAGAGAAATGAGATGCTCTCAAAGTTTCAAATAACAAAAATTAACATTGTTTAATATTTTTATTCTACTAATAAAATATATAATTAAAATATCTCTCTAGAAAAGCAGGAGAAATAGTGGATTTTGTGACTAGTTAAAATATTTTTTATATGTACTCAGATTTCATTTATAGAAGAAACTGGTACCAAGCAGTAATTACCAAGCTACCAAGACCCATGCTCATGTCTATGCTAATTTCTGTTTCTGGTCACTTTCATATTAAATATCTCCTTGGTAGAGTCCCAGAATAGATGTCCTAGGAGTTACAAAAAAATCAAAACATAGCTTTTATTTGTATGAAGCATGAAGGAAACAGAAACAAACAATTCTGAACTACATATAACCGAGAAAGAGGACATTATTGTATGATATTTCTCAGGTATGTTAAAAATTTCTCTTAGTAAAAATATGTATTCTTTCTTTTGAAGAGGAAGCATTGTTTTGGAACGCTCTGTCTCTAAGACCAAGTGACTTTTGTATGTTCCCACTGAATTTTGACTGGGAAAACTTAGAACATAGGCCTCTTCAATGTATTATTTTCTTTGTGCCAAGTAGGATTATATTTGTGATAATATATTATAACAAATAATTGCTTGAGACATTTTGCATAGTAGAGTCTGAGGACAAATGCTCCTAATGTTGTATGCAGTGATTTGCATCTACATGTGAGCACTCTTATAGAGTGACTGATACATGGTTATATCTTTGTTTTTCTATTTAAGACAGTCTTCAGGCTCGGCGCCTATAGCTCAACCAGCTAAGGCGCCAGCCACGTACACCTAAGGTGGCGGGTTCGAATCTCCTGCCCGGACCCGCCAAACAACAATGAC